TGTAGACAAATATTTTTATAATTAAGATGCGCAGAGTTTAGATGCATCTGCAAATATTTATCAAATAACGGTGCCAGTTTGGGTATTCATCAATGCAAATTAGCTTTGACCTATCCCAACAAAAGCCAATCCCAAAGCCAACAAATTCAATTTCAAGCAATTCAACAGGGACATGATGTATTTATCCATTTAAATAGAAACACGAGCTTTTTATGTTGTCTAATTTTAACTTGAACAGTGGGCTTGTCAGTTTTCAAGTGTCATTATCACGTAGCAACTGTAGCGTTTACTGTTATTTACAAAATAAGAGTCACGTTTTCTGAAAACTAGGAAAAACGTACATACCTGATTTAATAAAGATGTCCTTGTGGAAAAAAGATTGAGTCATTGTGATACTAATTTGTGTAAAAATATAAGATATATGTTTTGATAAAGGAACATTTTAATTAAAACTTGATGCGTAATGCTTAAAGGTTCCCAAAACTCTTAGTTCATTATCATTTTCAGAACTTGGAATTTGGAACTTAATTGTTAATCCGATTTCAAGCATAAACAGTTAAGAGCAAAAAACAACAAGACACAAATAAGATCCTTAAAGAAACTAAAGAAAAAATCTCATAATTAGAATAAACAATCAGTTTTTCTCTATCAAATCTAAAAAGAAAACAAACAATTAGCAATTCATAGTAGACAATCTGCTTTAGGATTAGAAGAATGTGGCGAATATTAATTTATAGCGTAAAATAACGAATCAACCAAATTGTCGGTATAAGCTCTAAAAAGAATGGATATAACTTTGTGGCACTTGAAAAATCAAAATCACATTTATGAACTACAAAATTTTCTTTTGTTTTATATCCATTAGTAAAGTAAATCAAAAGTTTGATGGAAAAACGTGACAAATTTGTTTATTTTGAAAGTGTTATTTCCTTTGAGGATTTATTGGCTATTATTGGTCATTCTTCATTTCTGACAAGTCTTTTACTCGAGTGTGTATTTAGGATTATATTGTTGTTGGATTAATATTGTTGTGTGGATCCTGTTTCCAATTTATCTAAAGCAGTGGTTGATCAAAATTCTATGCATTTTGAAATCATACAGTCTCAGTTTTGCCCAGATAATAATATACTTGGATTTTAAATAATTTCTCAAAAAATAAATCACGCCCCATAATGAATTCCACAACACATTCACTTCAAATCAGGAAATTCCAATTTGTTGCTGATTACATTTCCTTTGTCTATAAAATTGTCCAAACAATGTAGAAAAATTGATTAAATATTTGTTCTATAGCTGTTTATTGCAACGAACCCTTTTTAAGTGTTGACCTTCGGAATATCAACACTAATAAAGGACTAGAAAAGGAAAATATTGATTTTAAACACGCAATCAGAAACTTTCACATCATTAATACTTTGAAACTTTTATAGTATAAATGGACTGTCCTAAATGTTTTATTTTTTTAATACAATAATTTCTATTAGACCGTTGATATGTTAGCTGCAGATGCTCACATTCCCATCTTTATGAAATTGAATTTCTGTGCTTAATGAAATATTTCTCATATAAGTATAGTGACCTGAAAAACATACTTGAAGTATTCAAGAGTCCTACAAACTACACGTCAATGATATAAATGAAAATTTTTCTTCCCATTATTATCTCGAGTTCATTTATCTAGTTCAAAGGACAAGTATTTTTCTATCACATGATTTACAACAAAGTGTTCATTGTTGCTGCTTACACACATGAACGTTTGGGATGTGAAGTAGATGATAATATAGATAGATAGATGGCAATAGTGCATAGTAAAACTTCTCAGAGAGCGAGAACATGCTTGTTATTGACTTGAAACATAATTTAATCATAGATATTCAATCGATTGTTGAGCTTCACATATAGGACATAAAACTTTGATTGAATTTTTAGCAACATTTCCTACGATTTTTGGACTTGGATTAATTATGACTGACAGCTTTTCATATGTACAAAAGTGTGTTTGACATGTCTATTGAAATAGTGACAAAGTTGAGTAATTTTGCCTTTCGCAAGTTACCCCAAATTTTTGTAATCCCCAAAACGGTCTGAAGATGAGCAATACTCCAAACAAGATGGAAAGTTCGGAGACATTCGAATGATCCCAATGATTCTGTCAAATGCTAATAAAAATGCGCTTTAAATATGCCTTAAATTAATAAAAATTCCAATTCTATCCCATGAAATTAATTCCTACATTGCACTTATGTTGCTTCATATCAATGCTCTTTAGCTGGAAAATCCTCATCGTTGTCGTCATTGTCAGACATGACAAATATGATGAGGAATAAAAGCGAATAAAAAAAGTCAATGACGAAGAAGAAAAAGTAAGAAAAACTTTTTCCATTCTCATTGTATGATAGAAATTTTTTAAATGAAAATCGAATTGGAAGAGAAAAATATTGAAAAAATATATCAAGGATACGGAAAGAAGGAGCAGATTACGATGAAGAAATAAAATTGCTTGGAAAAACTTTTCGTCTGTTGTCTGTTAAATTATTAATGCATCATGAGAGATGAAATTTTGCTGCAAAAGTTGATTTATGTCTTTTTTTCCTTCCTTTAATTCTCATTTTCATTCAAATGTAAAGAAAATTCCACTTAAAGCATTAAGAAAAATCTGTGCACAAACACACATATAATAGCGTGCTATAGACAAGGAAGAAGGAGGAGAGGAGGATGAAATTATCAAAGAATGCTTATTCTGTGGAATTTAATCGTGTTGTAGAGCGTGAAAATTTTGAAATTCCTTAAAAAAGTCATTAAGTATATAATATGACAACGAACGAGAACAGCTAATGTTGTGCTGTTGCGAGAGAAATCGTAAGGAAAAAGCAAAATGCCATCATGCTAATTTATTCTCGTTTTTATAAGAAAATTACCATAAATGAAAAAATTTACTTTTTCAATGGAATTTTTGCTGCTAATAATGACGATGCTACTATTACCGTTTTACTGTAAAGAACCTCAACCTAATAATCTGCTTAAGTGTCATTCAGCCAGATGCGATAAGACATGTTGTTGACCTTAAAACCTCCTTATAAAATAACAATGATTTAATGGGGATAATTTTATGAATTATGGAATCTTGAAAAACGCTCACAATGTGCCTCGACTTACACTAATTTATAGTATTATTAAATATTCGAAACCACTTCTCAGATAGACTGTTGTCAGTAGATAGAAAATTTTCCTACGCAGATCCAGGAAGAATGAAGAAAAGTTCTCTTCATCTTGTGTACCATACAGGTAATTTTTGGAATTTGCATGCAAAATTGAAATGTGTGAAATAATTTAACATTTATAGAGTGGAGTTTTTAGGACCCTATAGACCTTTTAGGATGTCACATCTGAACTGGAATTTCAGATTTTCGCACAATTTGGACTCCATGATCCAAAGATTCAATCATAAATCCCAAAATAATTTTATATTATAGTGTTTATCATAAATCACATTGAGCTGATGACAATGATGGTCGTTTTAGATAAAATACTATCCATTAATGCTTCTTGCTACTCAAAACCATCAAAAGATAATTTTGCATGAATATTTTCTTGGTCAATTTGCTTTCTATCACAAAAGAGACATTTCTATTAATCAATTTTCCATTAGAATAAGTTCGATTCAAAAAAGAAGCTTTCATTTCAATTCATTTGGACATTTATATAATAAATTTCTAAAGAAAATATCACTTTGATATTCAAAAAGTTATTAAATGTATGAAAAATTTATTGCGTGCCTTAGTGAATATAACATGACATTGGGTCATTTCGATTTTCATATGAGAAAAATATTTCCATATTTTCTGGCATTGATTTACTCATACACAAGTGAATGAAAATGAAAATGTTTTAAAATATTTCCAACAAATATTTATTATTCATGTTCAGATGTAATTGATGAATTACAAGTTACGAATAGAATTATAATGAACGTGGAAGGATTTTCGTTTGAATACTCATGTCTATGTCGTGAATAAAATGGATTTACAATATTGTCCTGAATGTTTTAGTAGATTCATAATGTATGCTGAAATTATTGAAATTAATCGACATTTGTGTTACAAACTTTTGGAATTTTGCGCACTTGGGGTAAAAATAGAAGTGATTTTATATTTTTCATAAAATTTTCCTGAAGAGAAGTGCTTTAGTATCTAATTGGATGGAAAATTATAAAATTGAAATAATTGGCTACTAAAATATTTATGCTTTACCCACGATTAATATTTAAAATTACAGTATTAAATATTCACCTGAAAAACTCACTTTTTTCATTCCTTAGCAGCCATTTAATCACTGGGCACAAACACCATTTTATTTATACATTATACTTGCTTATATTTACTGACATAATAAATTAATTAAATGTGACAGACTAGTGCTTTATTTACATGCCGCATGCTATTATTCACTGCTTTTTTCCACGAAAGAACATCACACCAGAGAATGAGGTTGTGCATTTTCCACATCTCTTAATTTATTTCAATTTAATTTAATGCATCATGTCACATCATTGTAGGTTTGACGTCAACTATCTTATGCTGTGCTTGTTTATTTTCTTCGAAATGAAAGCTTTAGCTATTTTTAAACATTATCGCGTAAAAGATTGTATACATTTGTACTGCAGACTAGTTCGAGATGAAAACTTTCAAACTTTCAAATCACTGCCTGTGTCCTTGCAACTTTATACTCATCATAATAAAATCAACTTAATAATCGACTTTAGATTCATGATTCTTTCATTTTCATTCAAAGAGATTGAATCATTAATGTTCGTTATCACAAAATCATTTATAAGCACTTTCCTCTTGACTGAAATAGAAAAATTTAAGAAACTTTTCTTATTCATATTATATGCTGCTATTCGCAATCATAGATATTTTTCCACATGAAAAAAAAATCTGCAATTTTGAATTGTACAAATTTTATTAAAAGCGAAAATGCTGTTTTTTCTTTCCTTTTAGCGGATGATTCCGAGCAGCACGATGAATCAGTTTGTGGTAAAGTTCTCATCTTTCTCTCGTGGTTTCTTGTTTGTATTACGATGCCGTTCAGTTTACTAGTATGTTTTAAGGTAGGTTTATGAAAATTGGAAATTAAAATTTGATTGATTCTTTTATAGCATGTGTAAACCAAGTAAAAGTGATGTAAAGAATTCTGTGATAGATTGGTAGATTTTCACATTTAGTAGCATTTATACAAGACTTCATTTTTTTGAAATCAACACTTTCCGAGTTTCCTAGTTCCAAAACACGTGATGAATTGTCGTTTGCGACTTGTTGAAGTTATTGAAAATGACGTATAAAAAGTTACGAGAGAAAAAAATTTTTGTTTATTTCTTTTCTTCCTGTATGAAAGGAAATCATGAGTTGCAATCAAATAAATCCTAGTGTATGTTGAAAAAACACGAACAAAAAGCAGGCGGGTGAAAAATTTTGCGACATATAAAATAAGTTATAAGATTTATGAATATTATTTCCGAGAAAATTTTCTTTATGTTCATACTTCTGTTGATTCCTTTTAACTGTGCAACAACAATAATCGCCTTCATGATTGCCTTCCTTTTTCTCTTATTTTCCAACATATATTCACAAGTCACACGCAATAAATTGTGACTTTATCTCGAAAGAGAAAAAGAGCAAAAATAAAACTTTTCTTATGTGTCATAAAAAGCTTCTTTTTCCCGTCAAGTTAAATACTTTTCGTTACACACACTTCGTTTGCTCTAAATCAACAGAAAAAGTGGAACGGAGAAGGTCAGAGGAGAAAATTGCTCACGTTTACACTTTCTCATGAAATAAACATAAAGTCACTAGAACACATATGAAATGTCTATGAAAAGGAAAAGAAAAAGAGCGATTAGTTCCAAGCGATAACAGCTTACTCTTGTCCCAAATGGCTGACTTAGTAAAACTTTTTCTTCTTCTTTCTTTACTTCGGTATCATAAAAATTATTTGTCAATATTTTATCGTATGTACGATAAAGTTTACACCTCTATTTAATGCCTCAATATTGAATATTATATGAAAATCATTTAAATATCTACAACTACGCTTGTATCATGACTTTCATATTCTTTTAATTTTTACAAATTATTAGATTACAATTTGGAAAACGAACTATAGTTTCAAAATCCATTAGATAGTTGATAAAAATAGAATATTTTCAAGATATCAGAAATAGACTTACATAGGTGAATGAAATTTGATTTATAGTAAACAGCTGACCCTCTGACGTACGAGCAAGTAATTGAAACTATTATTCAAAGTAATTTAGCATTAATGTCCTTTTTCTGTAGGAAGTAGGATAATAATGCGATAATAGAGCAATTTAACCGTTGAAAGTGTAAAACTGTTAAACTACTGATTGATAGGTGGGTCTGAAGTTAATGACTAAGCTAAAATTAAAGCTAGTGTTTCGTTCCTAATTTTTACCTGATGCAAAAGTCTTCATTTATAATCTTTGCTTATATAATATTCGGCCTGTTTCACTAAGGTGGATTATCCTCATTTTAGGATTATCTATTTCTTCGATGCGCGGAAAATCCAAATATTTTTTTTCTGATGTAGAATTAATTGGTTAATAATAATCAGAACAGTTTGAGAAAACATCTTTTTATTCGATAGTGAATATAGCACAAAAATGATTTTAGTATATGGATTATCCTGAGATTATCCAAGGATAATCCTGAAGATTATCCAAATTTTCAATCTTGGGGGAATCCAGTTTTAACATTTTAGATTATTTATGTGGATAATCTTAGGATAATCTCAGGATAATCTTCGGATAATCCACTTACTAGGATAATCGTTTTTTGTGAAATCCATCGTCAAAAAATTATTTTCTTTAAATCTATTTTTTCTGATTAACGGTGCAGTTTAACGAATTAAAAAAAATCATGGATTATCTTCGGATTGAAAAAGTGGATAATCCGATCGGTGGATAATCTACCTTAGTGAAACAGGCTGATTAATCTCATTCTTATCATTTATAATCCTCATTGCAGGTTGTACAAGAGTATGAACGTGCTGTGATTTTCCGTTTGGGAAGATTAATGGTTGGAGGAGCTAAGGGACCAGGTGCGTATCGTTTCAGAAGTCATTTATAATTTTTGTTCGTCAATTCTCACTTTTCATATTAAATTTTAATTTTATTTTCTTCCTTTTAAGGTATTTTCTTCATTCTACCATGCATCGATGCCTACGCTCGTGTTGACTTACGAACACGTACATATGATGTTCCACCCCAAGAATTAAGTATCGACAATGCCAATTTATTTTAATTTTATGCTATTCACTTTCGAAAGATTTAAGCAATTATGTCAAAAATTAAATGACAAATTCTTTTATAGCACTTTAGTCATGCTCATCAGTCGACAACGTCAACCTTTTTCATCCAAAAATTTCAGTCCAAAAAATATTTTTATATCCTTTAATTAGCATTTGAAAGTTCAATTAATTTTTGTTGTTGGACCTTTTTTTCACTTTATAATTTTCGTGACTCAGTAGCTTGACACAAGCTTGTTTTTATGGTTGAATAAAGAACGACACATGAATTTTTATCCTCAGTTCACTGAGCAATTTTTTGCAACGTGATCGACAGCAGTGAATTTATAATTTTTTTATCTCATTTGGTAGACTGTCCGGGACTATATGTTTAAGGAGAAATATCCATTAATATGAAAATTGTTTATTAGCTAGAAATATGATTTGAGTTTGCTCTTTATGAAACATGATTTCTGAAAACATAGTCCATTAAGAACCAGCACTGATCTAATTTATTTTATGGAAAACTTAATAAATTTTTAATTTTATAGGTCTTGACAAAGGACAGTGTGACAGTGAGCGTTGATGGTGAGTAAGGAAAAACATCAGTCAAACAATACAATTTAATAAAATATTAATTACAGCTGTTGTGTATTATCGAGTCTCAAATGCTACCGTCTCAATTGCCAATGTCGAAAATGCCCATCATTCGACACGTTTGCTAGCACAAACAACACTACGGAACACCATGGGTATGGATGGATTTTAATTCTTCAATTTCTTTTTGAATTAATTATTCTTTTATTCTATTCATTTACTTCCTCTAAAGGTACAAGACAGCTTCATGAAATCTTAAGCGAACGAATGACACTCTCTGGAAGTATGCAGGTATGAGCAATTTTTTATTTATGCTAATCGTTTACATCATGCTTTAGTCAACCATCGAGATTAAAACATTTTTTCGTGCTCGACATGAAAATATTCAAATTTTTTTCGCGTGGTTCTCCTTTCTCCTTTATTTTATGTGGGGGGTTTAGCAAATGCACCGAAAATAATAAAGCTACAGTACTAGAAGGCAAAGAGTTTGAAAAATGTGAAATTTTTGAACTTATAAAAATTATAATCATTATCTTACGGAAGTTGAGTTGCAAAGTCACAAAAGAAAAATTCCTTTATTTTCGCCAAAAACAAGATTTTGAAGCTTTTGCCAGATTCGAATAAAAATAAATAATTTAATTATCATAAGTGCCAATCCTCATGTTTAACAAGGCATCAGAATGAGAAAATTTTATTTTAACCTCTTTTATCGTTCATTTTAGATTGCTCTTGATGAAGCTACAGAAGCATGGGGAATTAAAGTGGAACGTGTAGAAATGTAAGTTTAGAAAAAAAGAAAAGGGAGATGTATAAAAATATATTTAAATTTCTTAAGTATACTTTACCTTCTTTGATGACTTCTTTTATGTTTCTTTAACAAATTAAACCTTTTTATGGTTATGAAAATGCTTTTTGAAAATTTAAAGAGGGGAACATTAAGAATTGTACTGGTTAATTAAGATATGCTTTGAAGTAAATGGAAATATTTAAATAAGAAAATAAATTTGAATTATTAAGGATTTCAAAATAAAACAAAAATACTTGTTGCATCACTTCTAGTTCAATAATTTTACAAAACAAAACTTTTCAAAAATTTCCATCACCTTAAAAGTTTTTAATTAAACTTTTCCGAAGTAAATTCAATCGAGAAATCTTCAATTTATTGCAATTTTTTATTGTTTTCGAAATGTTCCATGAAAAACTTTTATTCTAGTTCTCGATATTAAATGGAGCATGTCGAATGGAAGTAGAAAAGTTTTAATTTAATCTTTCTACCACTTTTTTGAATTAAGATAACAAATAAAATTAATTGAAAACAATTAAAGAATAGAAATGGAATAGAATGAATATAAATCCTGGTATTTTCTTGCTCAGTCTTTTAATTCCATTTGACGCTTCTTCCAAATAGGAAGCAGATAGAATCAATTCAAAATCTAAGCTTCAAATGAATTGAAATTTATGCTAATGAAATGCCATTTCTCTTATTCTCTCTTTTTTCCCTCTCTTATACTAATCCTATCTCCATATTTACAATCAACATGCCGTTGCTGATGCCATTTTAAAAATTTATAGCAAGGATGTTCGCCTACCTGTTCAATTGCAGAGAGCCATGGCAGCTGAAGTAAGTTTAATTTTTTTTTATGTTTAAAGCTTTTTCTCAAATACACTGTATGTGCTCAAACCGAGCAGTCTATAATATTAGACATTCGGTTTGCTACACAACCACACCAAAGGATGATCGACCTTATTGATTAGTGTTGAATGACTATTAAAATAATTCCAACGCATTTAAGCTATAACTAATGACTTATGGCCACTATATGCCACTCGGACATCCGTTATTGATTTTCTATAAAAATTTGTTTGGTTTTGTATTCCTCGATTATCTCACATTCTCTCTCTAGTGCTGAATATACACATATTATTCAATCCTAATGACTTTTTCTTTCTATACCGATATGTGTACGATAAACATAGGCTGAAGCATCGAGAGAAGCACGAGCTAAAATTATTGCGTCAGAGGGTGAACAGAAGGCATCTCGAGCACTCCGAGAGGCCTCGGAAATTATTGGCGATTCGCCAGCTGCTTTACAACTAAGATATCTTCAGGTATATTTCATTTCATTTCACATTCAACACCAACTGTGCAATTTCTTTAATTTGTCATTTTCCTTCTTTTAATTAAATACAAAATGCAGACACTGAATACAATCTCGGCTGAGAAGAATTCAACGATTATTTTCCCTCTGCCTATCGACTTACTAACATTCTTCATGAAAAAGAAAGATTAAGATACGGTTTCGCCGGACAATATTACCGACATGATAAAGACATTTGTTCAATTGATTGACAACATTTCAACAGTTGATAGGCAGCCAGACGTTGAAGTTTCAATTTCATAAAAAAGTTTGTGTTGTTTTTAGAATAAATTAAGTAAAAACATTTATATGTGCTTATTGTCTATCCTTGATTCATAATTTTGAAATTCATTTGTTGTATTTGCTAAAGTCTTGAGGTCGTTGAGACATTTTAAAAATGAAAATCTCACAAAAAGTTGATCACCAAGCGAAAATCTGATGCCATTACTTTCCATTTCTTTTAGTCAATTCATTTCTTTTTTCTCAATCGTGGTACAGCTTGCGTCATTGCTGATATTAAAAGTGATCTTATAGATCGACCAATTTTAATGGCACCATTGATTTTTTTATTGATTATACATAAATACGTTGAAATGTGGGAAATATTGTCGTGCAGCCTTGTTTGATAAAGACGAAATAAATTGAAGAAATAACAACAAATGATGAATTGAAGATAGAATTCGATAGATAGGAAGAAAATTATTAGCATAGGACAAATTTTAATGCAAGGTGTGAGCATTAATTCCAAAAAAAAATTCAACGAGTTAAATCATTACAAAAGAAAAAGAAATAAAATAATTTAACAATTTTCTCTTAGAATTAGATTCTTAAGGATCGTCTCCACTTTGAGGTTAAAATTTATATGGCAAAACTTTGGGTTTTTTTTTAAATTTGAAAAATAATAATAAATCGAACCCTCCCTTGAAAGGTTGGACCCCCTTCACACCTTGCAAAACAAGAAAAGCCTTTGAATAATTTCTTAGATAGTGATAAAAAATCTAAAAACCAATAAATTTGACAGTTGGTTCTAAAAAGTCATGAATATATCTACATGATTAAAGTTATTTAAACAATTTGACGAATGTTAAAGCAAAACACAAAATACGAAGTAGGAAAATACTCAGATCGTTACAGAAAAAAAGAAAAATATCTGATTTATAATTTAATAAAACTATGTTAAATTTATTATTGTTACTCTATATTACGTTACTTTATGTTACACATATTCAGTATTTCAATACAATTTTGTGTGATTTAAAAATAAACAAATTTGATTTTTTACTCATTTTTTGGCATTAATGGTCTGTTCAACTATATAATATTCAATTAGAAATTGGATAGACTTTAATAAGTCAAAAAGGAGATACTGCAGTAAAACATAACAATTGAATTTATGTTCTCCTCTTTCATAAATTTAATTTGGTTCCTCATTCAACTTAATGTTGCAAACAAACACTAATCCAAGCATACACATGAATGTATGAAAAATTATTTTTTATATAACATACATTATGCATTGAAAATGCTGCTGTGGCAGTGACAAATTTAAAAAATTTAGCACGTCTCTCAGACATAAATTTTCTCTCCCTTTTTACTCGAATGAAATAAAGCAAATAACAATAAAAAATCTACAGCAATAGCAGCAAGCAGTCTTCATTGCAATGAATTTGTGCGTTATATATTATAATAAATTATTTTTTACTCGTATCCAGTTGGAAGTTTTTTAGCTATCAATAAATTTCACTTGAGTTTTTTCATTAGCAAACTTATAAAGCATTAGCAGTGATTTCAGATAAGAAAAAGCTTGTTTTAAACACAAAGATTTTATTATCTCTATTTTTAACCAAAATTAAAAATATTTTAAAAGAGTTTTAAAATAAATTTTTAAATCATAGTTAAACTATGAATGATTAGAGCAAAGATTTAGAATTTATAGTTTTGATACTATAGTAATGTTCGTATAGCAAGAGTTATAGACTCAAAAACGTATGAAGATTTGTCTCCATAGACATCTTCATTAGAAATTTTTTAAAAATAAGATAAAGGTTTTAATCATAAAATTAAAATTTTAAAATTAAAATAGTTTTTTGCAGAGATCGAAGCCGATTTTTTCGGCTTAACTCAATTTTTGATTTTTTTGATAGAAAAAAGCCATTTGACACCCATTTCAAGTATTTAAATTGAACTTTACATGCTTTACTATGATTCTGTGTAATATTTTGTCAGCATGTAGCTATAGTGAGCTCAGAATTTCAATTTAGCCGATTTTAAACCGAAATTTAAGCCGATCGGCTTATCATCGACTAAATTGAAATTCTGAGCTCACTATAGCTACATGCTGACAAAATATTACACAGAATCATAGTAAAGCATGTAAAGTTCAATTTAAATACTTGAAATGGGTGTCAAATGGCTTTTTTCTATCAAAAAAATCAAAAATTGAGTTAAGCCGAAAAAATCGGCTTCGATCTCTGGTTTTTTGTTGAAAATCTGTTTTTTTAAAAAAAAAATCTGATCAAATTAAATTATCAACGTAAATTGTTCGTACAACAAAGCAACTGCACTGTCACAATTTAATTTAGTAAAAAAATACACTACAAACATTTTTCATGTGCGAATAAACTCATTGAGATAGAAAATTGTTTGACATTAGTGACATTCGTTATGCTACAATATGAGAAATGTAGCAAAAAATTTGATATGACATGTAACTTGAGCTATTGTGCATTGTATACAATATACTCAATTGTTCTTGATAAATTGTAATTTACATAATTTTATTTGTGAGTTAAAGTTCCCATAACTTATTTTTTGGAAAGGATTTGTGAGTTAAACTTCCCATAACTTATTTTTTGGAAAGGATTAAATGTAGACTAACTGGGAATTTGACTCCCCGATGGTTTGTGGTTTTGTAAGTTTAAACCAAAACTTTTTGGTTTAATAAGAACACTTTAGAAACCACCAGAGTTTGTGAACACATCATTTTAAAACACACTTCTTTATAGTCAGAAAACTTAAATTTGGTTCAAAAAATTCAAATTGTCTTTGAGTTAAAAATTTTTTTCTAAAATAATAAAATAAAGACCACAGATTCCAAAAGTGTTCAAAACATTTTCACATTTACTTCTTAAATAAATTTACAAAAATAAAAAAATATCAAATTTCTTTGAAATTCAAGCGTAGCGTTGTGACCACTATGCCAAAAAATATTCAAAAACCTTAAGTACCCAAAATTTACCAAGAAACTATTTAATCTGCTTTAATAATAACATTTTCTTAATTAATTTGTTTCAAACCACTACAGCAACAGCAATTTAATTGCAATAAATAATTCAAATGAACAATATGTATTTTAAAAATAATTATAACCCAATTGAAAGCACACAGAAACCACAAACAGTAATAAAAAAAATGTAATCACAGAAGCGCCAAAAAAGCCAAAAAAATAGTGAAAAAAAAAGTTTTTCGTGTGAGTAAATAAAATGATTTTTTAAAAATATCAATATATAAAATAAAATTGGAAAGAATTATGAAAATTAAAAAGTTGAAATTGCGGCATGAATTGCTAATTTATTTTAAACATACATTAAATGTGAAGCATGACAACAACGATAATGAATTTTAAATTTATTTGTATGTTATGTATCCATTTATGTTCGTTCACTTCTACATACTGAATCGTGTATATTTAAATTATAAATAAATATGTATATTAAAAATGATATTTAAGAGTGTTGTTTTTCTATCCATGAACATCCATGGGACAAAGTTAGAAATTTTCTAATAATCTCCCATGAAGTATAAATCTTCCAATCGCACTTAGTGTATCAGAAAACTGCTTATCATGGTTGAATACTTTGCTGGTTTTAAGTTCTAAATAAAATACTCCAGGTATGTCAGCGCTTGCATTCAGTCCCATATAATTAATTGGATTTTTACTACAATATCCATTCTTATAGTCTCTCCAGCTCGAACATTTAAAGGCTGAATAAAGATTTGCTCCATTTGGGTTCAATGATTCTGTCCAATATCGGTTGGCATTAATATGACTGCAAAATGCTAGAATTATTGTCAAATTATTATACAGTTATTCCAAAGTAAGGTCTAAGTTTTTTCAGACTCACAGCTGACATAATTATAAAAGTTATCATTTCTAAAAGGTGGACATCCTGGCTGAACATCTGCATTATTCGGAAGGAACGTTACATGTCCAAAAGGGGTTCGTGATCCTATGAAAAATCCATCAGTTTGGATTGTGTCAACAAAGGAAGCATCACTAGGCATAAGTGGATTTTCATAAATTATTGGATGAGTTATCCAATTGGCAGGATCAAGACCTGTTATTCTGATTAAAAATCAATGTTTAAATTACAGTGAAAAAACAATCCTTTCGAATGATTACCTTCCTAATTTAAATCTTCCTCTTGAGGATGCTAGAATTTCTCTTCCCATAAAACCACATGCCTGAGCACCTACAAACATAAAACTGATTTAATTTTAGTAATTTTTAAATCTATGACATTCACATACCAAAGCTATGTCCAACACAATGAAAAGTTTGATCATTCAATCCTTTATTAAATAATTTCAAGAAAGCTCTCCCAGCCACACGACCCACCCATGGTACTCTAGTTTTTACAGTGGAGTAAAAATCGACATTATAGTCACTCCAATCGAAAACTAAAAAGTTATATCCTCCTCGTCTAATATAAGCATCGATAAGTTTGCTCTCAGCATCACTATTGATATTTTGGAGCCATCCGAAAATATACAAAGTTGTCGGACGACTATTATGAAAATTCTTATGGCTCATCAGCTGTGTGATATTCGATAAATGGTACTGATTGAATATTTTAGAACTCGTTCTGTTCTTTTTCGATGCGAGAGAAAAAAAACTCAAAAGATAAAAAAAAATTCCAGATTTATTTTGGATGTAGTATAAAAAATACAAACCCACTAAAAAATTTCACCGTTATTTTATCAAATTTCATTGCGTCTGGTAAAGCCTCATTGATGAAAAACAGGACTGAAATTTTAGGAAAAAGGATAACGTGGAACATTGTCAATATGATAAAAATATTCACTTACGTAAAAACACTATTTTAAATTTCATTTTTGAGTTTAGTATTTTCTTAATTTTAATTTTTGATGTCTTGCGTGGTAAATGGCGTCTTCGCAACTGAATCATTTTAGAAAATATTCTAAAGAACAACAAATTTGCATATCTTTTTTTACAGTCTCAAACGGTTCCTGTTCTTTTTCAACTCTCATTTTGGAGAGCGATTCATCAGCTGTTAAAACCTGATCTACACCAAGAATTTTCGAAAATATTTATCAAATCCAAAAAGCACATGACGAAATATTTTAGTAAATACATCAACTGTTTATGCAATTTTATATAAGCATATAAGCTGATAATGAAAACAATCAACAGAATTAAAAAATAATCAATAAAACTATGTGAAATACTTCCATTTTCAATTTCAATTTTGGTCGCATCATTTTATTGAGCGGAAGGATTTTATTGCAATAAAAAATCAATTATGTTCAGGTTATTTAATTTTGAGTTCCTTAATTTCAGCATTTTCATCTGTGAATTTTTTTTTCAATTAATAAAATTTTTCATATTAATTAATACACTTTTATTCAGTACAATATTAACATATGAATACAAAAGTCGAGAATAATGAATCAATACACGAGAAATGTTCAATTAATTAAGGATAATTAAGTCTATACAGGTATAAATTTTGCACCATTTATCCATTTGTACACGGTTGTTGTATATAATCCAAGCAGAAACCACGATTATCGACATCATTAGGGGCTTCAACTGAGTCTGTATGGAATGCCAATCTAAATGGTCTGATATTGCTTGAAATTGTTCGTTCAACATTCGAAACTTCAGCATTAAATGTTCCACCTATGTGAATAATTTTTCGGGTAGAAAAGAAAAAGTTTTTGAGGTAACGGTTGAATAATTAAGAGTACGAGGCATTTTACCACATATTTTATCTTCACAGGCCATCATTTGTGGAACACGATCTGAATAAGAATATAGAGAAGTATTAGGTTTAATTACATTTCTATCTTCACGTTTTAAACAGACAATGAATAATGTATAAGATTTATGGATACCGTTGATATCTTACCAGCTACTTTTGCACATGGAATCATCAACCAATCATTTGGACAAGAATTTGGTTGTCCTGATACTCCACCACCTACCATCGCAGAAACTTGAACGTTTGTATTGCCTGACAATGAGAATGAACGAGTTCGATTTGTGCCAGCTGGATCATTACATGGTGTGTATTGAATGCTACAGAAATTCCTCTCCATTCGTACACAAATGCTGTAGTCTTGATTTGACAATTGTCGACCTGAACTTGGATCAAAATTGAAACTTTTTATTCGACCACTAACACCTGTGAAATATTGCAGGCACCCTTGGTCTGCTTTAGATATTGATCCACAATGGATTTGTGAGATTCTTATTCGCCAGCTTCTCGGAAATTTCGGTCCACTTGTAATCGCTGTTAAAATTATTGGATTCGATTGACCCAAACCAGCATCAATATACACTAAATATATGGAATGTGAGAATTTACAAAAAGTTATTTGAGGCATTAAATTCATAAGTCAAAGCATTTCCACTTACTATGATCACCATGTGAAATACCACAAATCACAGGCACCGTACTTCCACCACTTACTAGGAACTGATCGGAATTACAAATGTGATTTTGAATCTCCGGACCTGAGTGTAATAATAAATATGGATTAAATAATTCGAAATGGAAAATATAGTGAAAAAGGAGAGGAAATGTGGGTAAATTGTGATTGTATGAGTACGAGCAGTCGACTCAATAGCAATTTTCAATTTCCTGCGTCATAATGCTACGGATGAGTGAATATTTTTTTAGGTAGCAAAAAAAGAAGGAAGAAAAAATTTATGTGTAAATGAATTCAACAAGGGAAAAAAGGAACGACGGCAAAATTCAAGAGAGAGAATATTGCACATTCAATTTACCAGCAAGAGCAAATTGCTCAAAATCCAATCGAATTTGACAGATTTCTGGGTGAAGTTTGAGTATCGTTAATTGACAGCTTCCGGTTCCGTCTGTTGTTTCTGGATGATTGGGATTCACGAAATATGTTCCATTTTCTCGTGCAACGCCACCGCAGCTAGCTATAAAATGAAAATTTTACATTGCAAAATAAAAAAAGGGATAATTGAATACCTTTTGCTACTGCACATTTCTCTTTGCATCAACTTTTGACTTAAATTTGAATCAATATTTATGCATGATTTAAAATATTTAAACCATAAAAGTTTCAAGGTCCTTTTCATACCCAAGATATATAGATGGGCTCATACAGAGTATACTTGACCATACTCGACCATACTATTTTTTTTGTACTTATACAAACAAAAATTTTTAAAATTTCCTATTTTCAAGTTTTCATTTAAATATCGACAGATGCAACAACATTTGTCTTAAGTCAGTTTCTTTAAATTATAGCAAAGCATTTGCAATACTCCTGTATCAACAAAACTTAACAGAAAGTTGAAAATTTTGCAAAACAAAAATTGAAAATTTTCTTTTATAGTGTTAGTGTTTTTAGAAAATTCAAATTTTTGACGTTTAAAAACTGCGATATTTTTGTATGAGCACATCTATATATCTTGTTCATACCATAAACTATATAAAGGCATGATAACAATATTTTGACTAAAATGGAATGAAATGATAATATCATGATGAAAATATGTTGATGGTGTTCCAATAGCTCCATTTCAAAGAAATATTCTGTTACTTATAGTTTTGAATATAATAAACAACTTAAAAGTCAACCAGCACACCATTGAAGAAAATTCCAAACAAGCAGCAAAAATTTAGAAACATAGTCATTAGAAAGAAATTTATGTGCGATGATAAAGGATGCTGCTGTTTATGACTTGTCGTCGTCAGTCGCATAGTTGTTTGAATATTTTATATTTTTACAACATACAGAGCTTTAAAGTTTCTTGTTTAAGTCTACATTGGAGTTAAAGCTTGTCGTAAACTTGCTCCTTTGAAAGTTTTTCGCAAGGAAAAAATAAATAAATTGCGGTAAACTAAAATCTGGCATCAGAAAGCAATAACTTATAACTTCTAGAATCATATTATGAAACATTATACACAGTAAGTATGTCTACAGAAACACTTTTTGTAGCAAAGTCATGGGAAATGAAATCATCATTTTATGTGCTTCGTATAAAATTTTATAAATAAAACCTCATTTACCGGAAGGAATGAAAACTCATTTAGTAAAAAGCACAAGATGGAGTAAAAGTCTCATAATAATTTTGCAATTTTCATCATGAAACCAAAGCAATGTAACAGAAGCTATGAGTAGCTCAACGTGGCTGAAGTGGAATTGAACAATGGATGGATACTTTTGCCACAAGAATCAAAGATTTTGAATTTTCTATGGGACACCTTTATTGCAAAGTAATTAGCAGATGTCAATAATCATTAAAACTAGTCAATTGCTCCTAAAAGTTTCAACCCTTGCCTTCCGTCCATTTAAAGCATCAACAAGAGAAAACAGTAGCAGCAGCAAGAAAATGAATTTATGACACATTTCATGCTTACCCATAAACACACAACATATTCCATATCCTGAAATAAGAAAGAGCTTTTTATGAGCACTGCTTTTTTTCATAATTAAATTGTTTTTGTTAGTCTTTTCTTTAACATACCTCCTGCACACTGCCCGCCTGCTATTCCACCTCTCAACTGACACTCATTTGCTGGAATACAATTACCAATTTCACCTGATGGTGCGCTGCACTGTCCCTGATCCCACTTTACGAACGTAACTAATGGTAGAACTAGATATAGAATTTTTCATATAGAGATGCATGAAGCGGAATGTAGTCATTAAAATAATAAAAATAAAAATATGTGACAGAAAGAAATTTCATAGAATGTGTGGAGAAGGAGAAATAAAGTCATTTAGTAATATGTTTAAATGTTTATGCTTATGTGAAGCCAACGAGATTCACAATGAGATAATGATGTGCTATGGCGTGAAATTTTTTTTGTGACAGTTTTTTTGTACTAGCATTATTATTGTTATTATCGTCGGATTATGTAAATTAGAAAAATTGGTATTATGAAATTACATGTTGTTTTGCAAATAGAAATGATTTTACTTGAAGCAATGCATATGGATTATTATTGATTGCAATATTCTGCATTGTACCATCCAACAAAAGCATTGAATGATGCTAGAAGGCTTTAATTTGATATTTATATTGTATATCATCTCTTATCAGATCAAAATTAATGGAAAACTGCACCAAATAGTATATCCATAACAGAATTACATAATCCTTTAAAAGCCTATAAAAATGAAAAGTTGAAAAATGATCAATGGAGGATGAAAATTGGATATTTTAAATGCTGGTATTTTTGAACGAAAAATAAATCAGATTGCATGCTTTAATCCCCACAGAAATGCGTATCCGTGTAATAAAACTCTCACGGAATGAAAAAATTCTATCACTTTGAATGAACCATAATATGATCAATTTGAATTGTAAATGGCTTTGGGTTTAAATGTTGAATTTCTCGAAAGCAGCTTTTGAAGTTTTTTATAAATCCTTTTTCTTTGTAATTTAAAAGAAAAAATTTCGGAAATGTTCTCAAATTCTTTCTTTTGTTAAATTTTTTTGTTTGTTTTCTGCTTATTTGAATATTTTTCAATGAGTTTCGAGAAGAATTGAAATTGTTACTGAAAAGTTTTTCTTTTGTACATGTTGCTTTGTATTCCAAACTATCACCGGAAGCAGTTGAAAGTTGTTTTTTTGTGATTTGTTTGTCCTTTAAAGAAAGG